TCTTCCAATTCTCGAAACACCCAGGTGAGGTCCTCCTCGTCGTCATCACGGGGGTCGTCTCTTAACATTTGGACCCAACGTTGGGACGAGATGACCTTGGCTTTGACCCCTACAGATGCCGTGGATTGATCCTGTGGATTGCCATTACTTCCATTGCTGCTGCTGTCATCGCCGAGGATGAGATATACATCTTCCAGGGTAGTCCCAGCACCCAAAATCATTTCTCCTTCAGTTTCTCCCCTGGCTTTGATTTCCATAATGTAGTAGAGCGTGGAAGAAGAATGTTCATTGTCGCCGTCCGATTGCTTTTGTTGCCGCAAAGCTTCAAATTCTTCGTATCCCACTGGAATATATGACTGTAAATTGTGATTTAATTTTTTGGCATAGGAGGCAAATTCCATCACGACGCCACTGCTGCTGCTGATGTTGTTATTGGGAGCCATGGCAACCATGCAGAATGGATCATCATTGGTGTTTTTGTTTGACACGGTCAAGAGTCCTTTGGAAATGGTTTTGGTACTCAAACGCAGCGGCGACGACACCACCACGCCTTGGCGATCTTGGTGAATGGAAGCAGCAGTATTCTGCTTGGCGTTCAGAAAGGCTTCCATTTCCAACACGAATTGATCTTGATGCACGTGATCGTGTTGTGCCGTCCCCACGGAATGATGTGTCAACAAACGGTTCATGGAATCCAGCACAGCCTGGGGAGGATGTGTCGACACGGGTGCATTGGCGAGCCGTTCCAAGCGCCACGAAGCATTGGAAATGCGTCTCCAACGAGAGAATCGATCGGTGGTTCGTGATGGGTGTTCTTCTTCTTGTCCCACAGCATTGGTGTCCTGAAAGAATTGATTTGCCGTGATCATTGTCTCGTGGTTTCTGTTTTCGCTGGACTACCGTCTGCTGTCGTAGTTAGGTTTCTTCCTTGACCGATCTCTCTGCTCTTTCTCGAGCTGTCAAGCTGCCATGGACAGGGAGATGGATCAATGTTCAGACGTTCGTTCAGACGAAGGGATCGAGGGGATGACACGATCGACACGATGAGTTTTGCCGTTGTTGCAGTGCGGTTTTCGAGTGAAGATCCAAGAATTACAGTACATGTACTGGTACATACTACCAGGCGGAATTCTGCCGAATGTGACTTTAAGTCTCTGAGTCCTAAAGCGTTAATATTGAGCCGTAAATTGACGAATCATTCGTTACCCACAGAGTAAGTCAGGATCTCCATAACTCTACCCCTAAGCGAAATCGCTCTTTTGGGCTCAACAGGCCCACAATGGACACGCTGACAATGGCGGGGGTAACCAAATACATGTAAGCCGTTCCGATCGCTTCTAATATGTATACCTCTTAGACGAACGTAGAGCAACTTGGTTTGGTGTTGAAAGGTTGTCTGGGTCATGCTGGGGCTGATCTGCTAGTGATTTTTGTCCATTGCCACCACCGACACCTTCGGTCGACGGCATTTCGCGGCAGCCCATTTCGCTACTGTACCGTATCGACGACAACAACAGCGGCTTGCTACTGGTAGTAGTAGCTGTCACTGTTCGACAAGGCCTCGAAGAGCGTCGAACGCAACGGAAAGAGTGCCAGCGTGATATTTGCGAAGCTACGTCGACGGTTGTTATCGACGACCAGGCAACATCGCGACCAACAATGCCAGCGAGTTTCCTCGACGACAAGAGCTACTATGAAGCAATGATACTGAAGCCAACAATTATTGGAACGAGCTGCGGAAGCGTCGTCTTTGAGCGAATTTACGAGAAGATGGATCGATTGAATGGAACGACTACAAAATGAATGCATGTACGACGTCCAATACGGTAACACTGATGTAGCCATCTATCGAGTTAGTTAGTTAGCTAGCAGTCTGCTCTTTTGTGGTTGTGGTGGTGGCTTCTTCAGTAGTTGTTGTTTTGTGCTTGTTTCTCTTCTTTTTTTGCTGCTCCTTGTACTGCGCCAAGAGTTCCGGTCCATACTTGGTATCCCACAATTCTTGTTGTTGTGTATCAACATCCGCGTCAGCAGCATCATGGTCTTGTCGTATGCGTGGTAGAGCAGCGTCAATTTTCTCCCATTGTTGTTGTCGTTCCGGTGGGACAAATCCCAAACTGACAAACCAATCGAGCGGACTATAATGTGGGACATTGTAATTCACAAGTAATTCTTGCCCCTTTTTGAGGGCTTTGCGACGTCCATGTCGTACACTTCGAACACAAAAGGTCCCAGCGCTGTCTTCCGTGGCATCGAGAAAGTTGCCATGGGCTATAGTATAGAATAGAAACAAAGAGAATATTTGAAGATGAGAGAGAGGGAGGGAGCAAGAGAACCCAATCACGACAAATACATTGATTCGTTGCCCCATCTATCTATTGGATGCGATGCACGCACGTCACGTACCCAATCGTTCCTTTCCAGTCAATTCCACAAATCCTCCCGCGGCAGCATCATGATTGATCATGTCGACCAATGGGACCATGCGCAAACTTCCATATGCTTCACTTCCGGCAGTGGCACGGCTAGTGACTTGACAGAGTGCCCATTCCAGATTGGTCATGGCTGTCATGCCGTCGGGATGCAAAATGTGCGTTCCATAATCCTTGGTCAGTCCATGGACGATTCGCAAAGCATGTTTGTGTGCCTTGGCAAGTTCCCCCTTCCAACCGTACGTATCCACACCCAATTCTTCTTGGAGTAACTTGGCAGCTGTGTTTTGTGGTTGTTGTTGTTGTTGCGATTGAGATTGATGAGTAGTCGGAGTGGCAGTTGCCTGTCGCAACAGACTACTGTATCCACACGTGGGTTCCCGGGGCAGTGAGGCAATATAGGGGAACCATCGAGAATGTCGTCCCACTCCTCGTTCGTGTGCCAGTAACAACACGAGCAATGCGGCATCATCCAAATCCTGTGGATTGGCTTTGCGTTGGACATCTCCGGGAATACGTGGGAGGAGTGTATCCAGTGCAACTTGTCGTGTCATTTGGAAGGTGAGTGGGACCCGTACGAGGACTTCTTCTTGTTTATAGACGGTATGATCCGGAATGGGTGGCAACCATAGCACTCGTGAGGTGGAATTGTCGGGATCATCATAGGCAGATGCTGCCGCATTGGCTCTCATCAATTTGGCTTGTTGGTTGCGATGCAAATCCATTTTTTCCTTGGCCACTCCTGGATTGCATGCCGATTGACACTTGTGCCAGCCGTCCTTGACCATGCCAATGCCACGGGGTGCTCCACAAGGTGCCGGAATCATAATGCCCAAATCAGGATGAACAAATCCATTTTTCTCGCGCACAACGGCTTCTCTCAAGACCGCATACATGGCAGTCTGTTGTTTTTGATGGAGCAGGGCAGAGGGTGGTGCTTGTGCCGCAGAGGACGACTGTAAGAAGAGCGTCTGATACCAGAGACTCCCCCGAATACGGCTTCCCAATTCGACACGCCACGGTGAGACTGGCATAGTAGTAGAAGAAGAAGAGTAATAGAAGGAAGCTCCACCGGTCAACCATCCACTCCCAATGCCAAATCCAAACAAGCAACCCAACGTCACACAGCCCAGCACCCACAGAATTCCCTGCTGCTCGGAACGCATCCATTTTTCAATTTCGTGAAACTTTTCTTCTAATTGCGGTGGCAGTGGAGTGTGTTGCTGCTGCTGAGTTTTGTTTTGTACATTATTTTGTCTGCTTTGTTGTGGATTTTTATTATTTTGTGGCGGTGGCTGCTGTTGTTGCTGCTGCTGTTGACTACTAGTAGACTTGCCTCTCCCAGAAGATGCAGAGGCAGAAGACTGTTGGCCGGGATTCTTATCCCCACTGCTGCTGCTGCCACTGCGATGCTGCTGCTTTTGTTTCTTGCCCATTGTTCACTCACTCAATTACAGAAGACAAGTCAAGAAAGTTTGGATGGTACCAGTACGGCAGATGGCAAAAAACGGGTTGGGGTTGTGTGCTGTGTGCGTGTTTGTGGTGCGTACCAGCCAGCAGAACGGTGTGAAGTCTTCCTTCAGACTGACGTTTCCGAGAACAGAGGGATGGTCCCCATGTCCCCATGACTTGTTGATTAAAATCTTTTGCTTCATTATTTGATGTTCCTTGCTCTGGCTGTTCACACCGTCCCAATCAGAGCAAGCTAGCTAGTGTATCTCCGGTACCAGGTGGCAACTGCCTGATTAAAAACCTAGCTACTATACTACCTACAGTACGCTGATGTGCCAAAAGCAAGTTTTCTTAATTTTGTTCAAACCGTTACCCGGACTGATTTGCTCCAACCTGTACGGTGGTATCCCCTGTTTAGTATGACAGGCATTCAGCTGCAAAAGGGAAAAAGAAGCGACGACCCGCCAGGAACCGATAGGTGCATTAATGTTGGGTTGTCCGGGTGCTTCTTTTGTCGATATGACAGTCTACAGTGGTTGTTTGCTTCATGGCCGCTCTAGCTACCGTAGCAGCTAGCTAGCCGCCCAGAATTTGCTTGTTACCACTCAGAGCGGCCGCTTCAGTTCCAACTAGCCAACAAGAGACTTCCTGGTACGAGCAGAAATCTCCTTTTACACCAACCGAGCTTAGAACTAGCAGCTCCTCTAAAATTACCAGAGCAGCGACAATTGAAACCCAACGAGGTGCTGGACTTTAGAAGAAAGTGAACGTTTCGGAGGGGAGGGCGACGATCAATCCTGCCTGTGTTGACCTATGCATATCCAGCCATGCATTCTTTACGGTAAGAAGAGCAGCCACAAACAAAGCCCAGCCAGTTCTTGTCTCATACATCGCCATTCCCTGGATCTAGCTGCAAGAGTTGGCTTGACCTACCATGACACTGGTACTAGTAGGTTGCTCCCTCCGACCCTTCACAGGCATCCAGCAGCCCCACCTAGCTGCCTGGTTAGAGGTGGTACCAGCTACATGTAAATCCTGTAGATGAAGCAACATTCCACAAGCAAGCGAATGATTTCATCAATGCATATGTACGGTACAGTAAATGAGAGCCGAGGCAATGTGTGGGAAGCGAAGTGGTCGCAAACAAGCTGTCTTCCTTGCACCAATCCCCACACCTACAAGCTCGCAAGCTGGACTGCTCCGATGTACCGTACCGGCCAATGAGAAGAGCCACCACAGCGGTGGCTACGAGTACTTGTATGATAGCTAGCTACTAGAGTATGCATAGTAGCACCAGAACGGGGGCATTTCGCTTGCACTTCTCATGTGTCGACAGCCAAACTGCAGAGAGCAACGTGAGAATCCTGGGGTGTGGAGAAATCGAGGGCCACGGTAAAACATGACCAAGGCAGTGGTAAACAGTTCTCGTACCGGTACGGTAGCACTGTAAATCACTGTCCAGAAAGACAAAGACGATGTACTGTAAACGGTATTAGTACAGCGTACGTATGCATGTACTACCCCAGTGTTAAAGTGGCTCCTTGAATGAAAGCAATGGTGTATTTCCCCCTTCCCTATCGGTACCGATACTTACCCAACCACCACCTGTGACCCTTTACTTCCATATTAATACATACATGTACTACTACATGTACAATAGTAGAGTACTGTACTGAGTAGACAGTTACTAGAGTTGTATTTTTTTAATTAATAGTCTCCCGAGCATGTATGTATCTTCAAGCTGTGATGACGTGATGACTTCTCAGCAGACGGATTGGTGATATAGAGGTGTTACATGTATGGATACCGCTTACCACTACGTCTGCGTCAATATTGTACGACTGTACCGGAGCCTCCGTAAAGTACAGCTGAAGCGGGAGCACAGCTAATCTGCCAAAAGGCGAGCAAGCTGTCGATTAATAATTGTGCCTCAATTGAGAAGTCCATCAGCTGCCAAAAAGAAGCACCAATCTTGTTTCCTCAACAACTCGTCCTCAAGCTAATCTAGCTACCTCGTAGTAGTTCAGAGACAACCAATAACGGGAGTCTCCATCACAACAGTAGACAATCTATCTATACCATGCCGATTACCAGTGCTAGCAGCAGCAAGGGGCCGTCTCCGTCCATGAGATCCGAGAGTGGATCTGCCAAGAGCAATGGTAGAAGTGATCTGGACCATTCGATTTTAGAGGCAGCATCGATTGCACAGACCGAGACTCGAACCATTCAAATCCTCCGCTGCGCCGTGATGGTGGTGCTAGTGATGACAACCATTCTAGTCTCCACTGGCATTTTCAAATACACCCGTAATCAAGAGGAAGAGAAATTCATTTCTAATTTCGAGGACAATGCCGTCCAAGTCATTGAATCTTTCCACCAGTTGGTCGAACGACACCTGGGAGCTGCGGCATGGATGTCCACGGAGATCACCTCGTTTGCGCTTCAAGCCAACCAGACTTTTCCGAATGTCACCGTACCTGATTTCGCTCAGCTTGGATCGCATTTTCGATCCGTCTCGGGTTCGCACGTCGTTCACTACATGCCGTTAGTAAGCAACGATCATCGTGAAGGTTGGGAGGAGTATGCCATGGACCATCGATTCCATATTGACGAGGCATTTCAGCAAGATAAAAAGCACCGAACTACCCAGGATGAAGCTTTTGGGAGGCAACGGAACTTACAACAACAGCCAGGAGGTGCCAAACTGAACATGACCGTGCTGGACGAGGAGTCAGGATATCACCCCAAGATTTGGAGGAACGGTGGGATTGTCGCCCCTGGGGATGAGCCGGAAGGAAGTGGGCCATTCATACCGCTCTGGCAACGAAGGTATGTCGCAAAAAAGTATATTAGAAGTTGGCTGGCTAGGTGGACACTCATCGTTACATTTCTCACATGTTTCTCATGTCTTGTTTCCGCATCGTGCCAATACAACCTCCATTGTGTGTAGCCCCATTGACGGTGCGAGACAGCGAGTCTTGAATATGAACTTTGCTCAGACCAAGGCTCTCAAAGCTGGTCTGATAGAGTCCATGGTGAAAGAAAAGAAGGCAGTGCTGAATAGCGCAGCCGTTCCAATTCCGGAAATTAGGGAACGGCTGGAAGCCAATCTTCGTCTTTCGCAGTTTCGGCACAATATCGAGGAGTACGTCGACGGGCTCAGCACGTTTCTCGCTTACCCAGTCTTTGATTCCTTTGACGAAGACAAAAGAGAGGTGGCAGGTGTGCTGGCCACAAATATCTATTGGAAAATCCTATTTACCAATCTGCTGCCATCCTTGTCCCAAGGGGTGATTTGTCAGGTTGAAAACTCGTTCAACCAGACCTTTGCATATCAAGTGGATGGCGATGTTGCAACGTTCCTTGGAATGGGAGAGCACCATGGCTCAAAAAAGTACGCTGACCTTGGTATGTCTACCGATGTCAGCCAATACCTGCACATGAGAGCAAGCCCCCAGAATCGGGCATACTCCACGATTCCCCTCAGCAGTGATGCCAACTATGTTCTTCGAGTCTACCCTTCCAAAAACATGGAGGAGCAGTACATTACAAATGAACCCATCCTCTACACGGTTGTTGCCATTTGCTGCTTTGCGTTTGTGTCTATTCTATTTTTGGCCTTCTCCTGTGTTGTTGAAAGGCGACAGCACATCATGATTGAGAAAGTGCTAGAGAATGCCCACAAAGCTACCACAGCAGAGAGGGAGCTGAATGAGTTTTTGAGCCACGAGGTAAGAGGATGCAGCTCGCAAAAAAGCACGAATGGTGTATTCGTTTCGTATCGCCGCTGACCTTGCCTTCTCATGCGTCCATAATCAAAGGTGAGGAACCCTCTGTCAGCTGCCATATCTGCCTGTTCCTTTATCACCACCGCTGTCAACGAGCCAAACCCAATGTCGACTCCCGAAAGCACCGAACTTGTGAGGGAGGACATTGAAGTAGTCAATTCGAGCCTCCACTTCATCAATGACTTCCTTCGTTCGATGCTTGATATCCACCGCGCCACTGGCAATCAACTGAAGATTACAAAATCACCAACTGATCTTCTACGAGATGTGCTGGAACCAGTGTCTGCAATCTTGTACAAAAGAGTAGCAAACTTTGAAGTGATTGTTTCCTGCCCCGAGAACCTGTTTGTGTTAACGGATTCAATCCGTTTGAAGCAGGTTGTTTTGAATTTGGCCCGGAATTCATCCAAGTTTGTAGAAAGGGGCTTTATCAGATTGAGGGCTGAGATTCTCAAGAACAATCAAGTTCAACTCTACGTGGAAGACTCTGGTCCTGGAGTACCATTGGAAAAGAGAGACAATCTGTTCCAAAAGTACCAGCCAAGCTTGGACCTCCTTCATCAGGGTACTGGATTGGGACTCAGCCTCAGTCAAAAACTCATGACTTCCATGGGAGGGAGCTTGTGGCTGGACAACTCTTTCGACAGTGGGGTGGAGGGCCAACCAGGGGCATGCTTTGTAATACAACTGAATTCACCACCACTCAAGATTGAATCCTTGGTTATGACGGATTGTGAGAGTGAGCCGTCCAACGACGTGGTTGCTGCCGAGTGCAATCGCTCTAGCGGCAGTACAGTAGACGCAACAAATCAAAAATCCACTGATTCGGCGGCAGCAGCTTCGACGTCGGGACCAAGTGACAACGCGACAATCGGCCAGCAGGGATCCAACACCACGAATGACATCTCGGCGGAACCACCACCTCGGCCACTGTCGGTTGAACCTGTGTCTCCTCAAGCTACCGAGCTGCCAACCGAACTGCAAGTCTTGTTTGTGGACGATGATTCCATGGTTCGAAAACTGTTTGTCCGTGCAATTCGAAGAGTCCAGCCATCATGGTCTATCCAGGAAGCGTCCAGTGGCGAGGCTGCCCTGCGATTGTGTGAATCTCTAGAGCGGCAGCCAGATTTGATCTTCATGGACCAGTAAGTTCTCATTGTCCATTGGATCACTCTTGACGAAAACATTGAGTCACACCTAACTCTTCTGCTCATTGTCCTCCTTCATTCACAGGTACATGGCCTCTACTGAGAAACAGCTCTTGGGAACTGAAACTGTTCAAGCCATGCGATCCAAGGGAGTCCAGAGTATCATTTGTGGCCTGTCTGCGAACGACATTCGAAATCATTTCATCAATGCTGGCGCAGATGAGTTTCAACTCAAACCAATCCCGTGCAAAGTTGATGAGCTGCGAACACTGTTGATTCGAATCTTGGAGACTAGACCACTATCGGAGTTGGCTTAGCTGGTGTCTGTTTTTGGTAGCCGTGTTGGTAATTTGAAGTACAGTTGTAGAGGCTGGAAAGAATAGAAAACTCCCCAGATGGCTGCAGTTGTGCCCCGATAGTACGGTACTTAGTTGTCGGGTGTCGTTCGGGCCACCACTTCTGCTCTCTAGCTAGCTAGCTAGTAGGCTATCGGGTAGCTAGCTAGCTAGACCCATGGGCTTTATTCTGGTGGGGCCATTTCTAGTACACGTACCCGTATCAGTGCTGTCATGTCATCTGACGACGGTCAGTTAGACTAGACTAGTCTAGTAGTTTGTGAGAGTTTGGTAAAAATATCCTCGACATGTATGACAGCAATAGTTCGCAATTTCTCGTTCGCTGGTTTGACCACTGGGCGACATACAGGTACCGTAAAAGTATATCCCAGAACTGAGAGGAATACTGAGAGCCTGTACGAGTAGTAGGGGATCCTACAGGAGGTATCAAGAGGTATCCACCGTATCGAACACCTGGTGTATGCTGGTTGATCGTTGTCAATACCAGTGAGCGAACGAAAGGTCACCGCCTCGACCGTAAGAAAAATGAGGCTCGCACCTCTACTACTCACCGTTAAGATAACGTCGCACCTCTATCTATTATCTCGAAAACGCTCGAAAAGCACAAGTCCACGAAATCGCTCGCTAGCTAGCTACCACTACGTGTTCGAAAATCGCAAGTCCAACATGAAAACGAAAAAGATCAAGTCCATGTAACAGACTCACTATAAGGCATGGCTACCATGCTGATTAAACTAAGGTCAACTTTACTGAGCACGAACAATACAAAGATCCTCATGCAGACTGCCCATAATGGTGTCCTGCTTGATGGCAGCAGTAATATTCAAAACACTTCCTTTGTAATGCTCCTCAATCTTGGAGATGACCCAAGCTGGAGCTTTCTGAGCATTCACAAGTGTAGCCATGAGAGTCCAGAGTGGCTTCCTCCTGGAGTAGGTTGACTTGCAAGCCCTGATATCATCAGCAGTGAAGTTCTTGGCTGGCTTGTTGCCACCAATACCATGCATCCACTCTTGCCAAGCAGAGCCAACAGTTCTGTACTTGGCTAGCTTGGCAGGCCTACTATCAGCAGGGGTGGTGGCCACAGCTTGTCTGTACCTGAGGCTAGTCTGGCCATTCCGGCGAGTCCTTTCCACAGTCAACCCATTTCTAAAAAGATTACCATCTACCTGATCAGGTGTTGCCATCCTTGGAGGCTGAACAGCAATCCTAAAAGAATACAAAAATACATAGTTAGCAGCAGTAATAGCCATAGTTGCAATAGCCAACAGCCACAAGTCCACACTTACCTGCAAATATTTCCATTGAGTTTCGTCAGCTCCGCGCCAAGCCAAGCTCCCAACCAGCCTCTCAAAGCAGCAGCCGAACTGTCGCGGGTCCTACCTTCTTGCGCTATGAGCTGCTGGAGCTGGTTGTGCTGCGCAATAATCCTTGTCAGAATCTCCTCGTTCGTTCGTACCTGTTTTTGCGTTTGCATAGCCGTACCTGCCGGACTGATTGCAACTTGACGAGTGCTTGGCTGGCCGGTCGTTCCCGTTGTGCCACCAGCTGTGCCACCGCCGCCTCCCGTATCCATCGGCTCGATTTCTTGATGTGGAGCTTGGTGTTGTGCGTTCAAATAGAGAGAGGCACTTTACCACAGGGTTGACGCCAACAGGAACATCGGCCTTGATGCGCTCGTACGCATCTTGGATCCTAACACGAACGGGAGGCTCCATCCTCTCCTCCCAAGATTCGTCAAGAGCAGCCCACAAAAGAGGCAGAGCCAAGTGAGAGCGAAATGTCGTTGCACCGTCGTAAAAGGCATGTGTCCTTGGCACCACATGCTCATTAACCAGTCGGGAGTCACTCTCTTGGCATTCGGGTGTAGCTTGTAGGCAATAAGAGCCCCCATGCAAAGCTTTTCGGCAACACGGGCGTCATCCAGGGCTGTTCAGGCAAATGTAGGCATCAACAAACCGTCCAGACAAGCGAGCCTTCCAGCGACCTCGATGTCAACTTCGTCGCAGTAACACCCATCCCTCTTGCCAGAGTTGCAGCAAACTTCCGAATGCTGTTACTCCCAAGAACACCAGCATGAGGAGCGCCACAGCCAAGAAATGGAGCCGAAAAAAAGACAGCCTTCAGAATGTTGCGGTAGGCTGCGTTGCAGTGCTTGGGAGCCAGCTTGGGATCGCTTTCGGGAGTAAAAGGAATGCATCTTCCCGACCAGCGGCGCCATACCCTAGTTGAAGGACGCCTCCATTAATTCGCCAATCCGAGATGGCACAAAAGTCGGTATACATCGACCCCAAGAATGTTTGGTCGGGGCATTGTCTTCTTCCGAAATATCTTGGACCAATGCACCTTGCAACTGAGCGCAAAAAGGAAGTCTGGATGCGGCTTGTAGTCGGATACTTCAACTTGGAGATGTCGTCCGTCTGGTGTGAGATGGACTTGCTGCTTAACATGCAGGCTGTACGGTGGTCGATTCAAAGCTCCTTTGCCGTAGAGTTCATGACCACCTTGCGATACTCGTTTCCGTCAAATCCCTGGTGGCACAGGACTTTTGCCGCGGTGTTGAGTCTCCGCTTTCTTGACTTCCTGACCACTTCGTTCACAGGACCGGACTTGGTTGGATTGCCGAGGTTCCATTCATGTGCACCTTTGATGGGCATGTAGAAGGAATAGCCTTCTTGTCTTGCTCAAGAGTAGAGAGCGGCAAGTTGGATTCTCTCGAGGTCTTTGAAGTCAAAATCGGTCGTACCATACGCACGCCATTCAAGTAGTCGGCACGTGTGTGGTTGGATGCGCCAAAGCACTAGGTTGAAGCGAGCCGCCTTGGTGTATGTCCTCTTGTGCAGCCACTCATGAATTTGACGAAGAGACGATGGTAATCCGGTTGTACTGTCCGTGGTGCTTCAGGCAAATCCGGCACGTCTTCCAACCCAAGGCTCCACATCATGGCTTAGGGAGAATTGTTTGAACTAAGCAATGTGAGGTTGTCGGTCAGAGTTCCTTTATAGACTTGAAGGATTGGAAATAATGAGGAAAACTGAACTGAAGACTGAACTGTCTACCGGTAGCTAGCTACCTGTCGTACGATGTAGAGGATCGATCCGTCGCTCGCACGGGATTTGCCCGTTGGTTGCCTCTTTGTTGAGTATACGTCAACTCGTACGATTCGATAGGAGTTGCAACGATTGGATCTTTTGGCTTGAGTATGTACCAACCAGCCGTTCGGATCTCATTGGATGTGGGAATCGGATTGGTGGGTATGTTGTGTGGTACTTAAGCGATTATTGGAATCCTCTCAGTATGTGGATTGGTCTTATGTATGCAGGCGCCCCTGTTATATCTTCTCTGTTGCAGTTTATTTAATAATGAGAGTCTTATTGAGAGGATCTTTGTTTCAATGACTACTGATACTGTAGACTTTCTACGTAGCATACTGTCATTGATCCTGAGGGTATGTAAGATCCACATAGTAGTAGGGGGAAGCACATACTGACCCTGTGCAACTACTGTTGCAGAAATGTAGTACCGTACGTGTACACTTTAAACTTGGGTTTCTCCAGTGACCACCCACCAACGCTAAGAGCATTCAATACCGGGGTCACCCATAGCACAAAACCCAAATGGTCGGTGGCTTGACATACTCGCAGCAAAGCTATGCTTGCTCGTGAAAGAGAACCTCAACGCTCGTATTGTGATGTTAGAATGATGTCATTGATGATGTGGCAATTATTCTCCTTAAGTAAATTTGAATCCAATGAGTCAAATGGGTTTGGGTCCGCAGTTGAGGCTACCCAAACAGTGCTGATTTGCGTTGGAGCTCACTCAACCCAATGGCCCAAATCGCATTTGACTCACTGGACTCAGGTCGGCCGGCGATACTCGATGCCAACCATTTGGGTTTTGTGCTATGGGTGACCCCGGTATTGAATGGTCTAAGGCCGCTCTCTACCGGAGCGACTAAAGTAGTGACTAAAGGAATCCTTTAGGTGGTTGTTTAGTTCAAGATTTAGTCATTATCCTTTAGTAATGGTGGTGTCTACCAGCAGATGACTAAATCTCGGACTAAACAATTTAGTCGAGTTTTTAGTCAAAAACGTGGTGTCTACCGTGGCGACTAAACAAACACCGGGACTAAATCCATTGCAGGGTGCTGGACTTAAGGGATTCAAAAAAGATTTAACAAAAGTGATCACTTGGTGGGCTACCAATATTCTATCAGCATGGTGGATTTAAAGGACTCAAACAAAGACTTAACAGAAGTGATTACTTTTTGAGATAACAAGACTGAGATAACAAGACTCAAAACACACCTCTCCTCTGTCATCCTTTGCACCTCTACTATCATTGGATCGTTCGATCGCACCTCTACTATCATTCATTCGATCGTTTGCACCTCTACTATCATTCTGATCGTGGAACGATCGTTTTCACCTCTACTATCATTGGATCGAACGTTCGATCGTTTGCACCTCTACTATCATTGGATCGAACGTTCGATCGTTTGCACCTCTACTCTATCAGCTCTGTGGCGATGCTCTGATAGTGAGGCTGTGCAATGAGGCTGATTTTGTTATCCAACTCGGTGGCATGCAGTTGTATTGTTTTCTGTTGGATTTATTCACTGTTCTTAAACAAGCTTTAGTCCTTACCCTCGCTCACCGACTAACCAGCCTCCCTTTAGTCGGTGAAGGAGCGTTTTGACTAAAGCCTTTAGTCTGTATGACGTTTAGTCGCTTGGGTAGACACCACCCCAAGAGACTAAACTATGGACTAAACTACAAAATATGGCTTAGTCGCTACTTTAGTCGCTCCGGTAGAGAGCGGCCTAACCCATCTGTTCCCCGGTTCTGCTGCTGACATGGAACACTGAAACTCACCGCACAGAGCACAGAGACCCACACTGAGCGTCCCTTCCCAACGTCGTTCTTCCGAATCCTACAAGTCACGACCTTCACTCTCCGCTCGATTTCTGCTGCACTCAAAAGCTAGCTAGCTAGTACCACTTACTCTTCCCAGCCGTTTGCCTTTATTCTCCACTGCCACCCGAGCACTCGACGGCTACCCTACACGTACCCACAGAGAACAGCAGAATCTGACCAACTCAAAGGAGGACTACTAGTACAAAGCAGACACCATGGCATCACCATCCCCCAAGATCTCAACGACACCGACCAGTCGCAACGAAGACGAGAACAGTTTGGTAACGACGTCGCTGGCCCAAGCCGAGACACGATGGGTCAATTGTCTTCGCCTGGCTGTGATTGCCGTGTTGCTGCTTGCCACGATTGGTCTTTCAGCAGGAGTGTATCTGTATACCCGCCAAGAAGAACAAGACAAATTCGAAGCTCATTTTGAAGACTCGGCCTTGCAGGTGATTGAAAATTTTCACGATTTGGTGGACCGGCACATTGGAGCGGCGTCGTCGTTATCCACAGATATCACCTCCTATGCGCTCGACAAAAATTTGACGTTTCCGTTTGTGACATTGCCCGACTTTGCGCTCAAGGGCAGCAATTTCCGAATTCACAGTGGATCACATGTGGTACACTGGCTCCCTTTGGTGACGGACGAGCGGCGCGGCGAATGGCAAGATTTTGCCTACGAAAATCGAGAGCAGATTGACGACGCCTTCGAGGTGGATCTGTACCAGCGAACGCTTCAAGATCAGCAACTGGGGCGACAAACGCAGAACAACGGAAGTCGACATTTGCAGCAGCAAGGCGACAAAGAAAAGGGAAACTTGACTGTCCTGGAAGACGGAACAGGGTATCATCCACGGATATGGAATAATGCAGCAATTACCATCGAAGGCGATGCACCGGATGATAGCGGCCCGTACTTGCCAGCTTGGCAGAGGAGGTAGGTTGGCCAGACTCCTACAACGCCGAGGGGAAGGGGAAGGGGGCTGTGATACGACATCGCACACTCACACGCTTTCTTGGAAATGCGACTTCTGAAGTCCGATTAGCCCCATCAAACAAGATTTGTTAAATTTGAACTTTGCTAACACAGGTGAGTTGAGAAGCGACACGAAGGTTGTAACAAAAAGAATCGAATCTTCCCTCACTTCTCTAACTGCTATTGGTATATGACAGGTGTGGTCGGGCCTGGAGTATTCAAGGCTATGTTGACCTCGAAGAAGGCAGTCTTTCGAAACGCATTCGTACCCATACCGAAACAACTAAAAAATCTCGAGGCCAACCTTCGAATATCCCAGTACAGAAACTCAGTGAGCGACTTACTGGATGGATTAAATACCTTCCTTTTGTATCCGGTGTTTGAATCCTTCCAGCCGGATGCCGAAGTGACAGGGGTCCTGGCAACCAGCATTTACTGGAACGTGCTATTCTCGCACCTCGTGCCATCCACTACCCGTGGGCTGATCTGCGTGATTGAAAATTCATTCAACCAGACGTTCTCCTACAGGATTGACGGACCAGAAGCCACTTCTTTGGGCATTGGGGATCATCACGATCCTAAATTTGATTACTTGAGCATGTCCATGAGTGTCAATGAATATCTGGAAGCCTTGTCATCTCCTCAAAACAGGGCGTACAACACTGTGCCGTTGAGCCGAGACACGGAATACCATATCCGTGTTTATCCATCACAGGATACTGCAGATGAATTCTTGACCAACAAACCAGCCCTCTATACTGCAATTGTCATCCTTGGCTTTTCGTTTGCATCCTTCCTCTTCCTGGTTTTCTCATATGTGGTGGAACGACGGCAACGAATCATGCTCGAAAAGGTTGTTGAGAATGCCAAACGAGTAGCTGCAGCTGAAAGGGAGTTGAATGAGTTCCTGAGCCATGAGGTATGTGCCATTATGACGACGCCAAAAAAGCATGAATATGCGTGTTCATTTTGACACCCAACTGACCCCCTGCTACCCGTTCCCCGATGATCATCATAAGGTGAGGAACCCCCTTGCATCTGCCATGTCTGCTTGCACTTTCGTGATGACTGCCATCAACGAACCACAACCACTGGTGGATGAAGAAACCCGAAAGTCAGCCAGGGAGGACATTGAAGTAGTCAATTCAAGTCTCCACTTCATTAATGACTTTCTTCGTTCCATGTTGGATATTCACAAAGCCAGTGGCAACCAGATCAAGATAGAGAAGACACCAACAGATGTCTTGCATGATGTGTTTGAGCCAGTGTCAGCAATTCTTTACAAAAGGGTTGCCAACTTTGATGTGATTGTGGATTGTCCACCAAGCTTGATAGTTATGACGGATTCCATTCGTTTGAAACAAGTTGTGTTGAATTTGGTCCGTAATTCATCCAAGTTTGTAGAGCGAGGCTTTGTCCGTATGAGAGCTGCAGTTGTGGATCACCAGGTACGAATATATGTTGAGGATTCTGGGCCTGGAGTGCCCTTGGACAAGAGGGAAGACTTGTTCCAAAAGTACCAGCCTAGTTTGGACCTCCTTCACCAGGGTACTGGTTTGGGACTCAGTCTGGTTCAAAAACTTATGGCTTCGATGGGAGGGAATGTTTGGTTGGATGAAGACTACGAGAGTGGAGTGGAAGGCTGTCCTGGAGCTTGCTTCGTGGTAGAGCTTCACACCAATCCTGTGGACATTGAAGCAACACTTCCCACAGACAGTGACAGTGATTTGCATAATGGTGCCACTAACGTTCAGGTTGCCTTGCCAAACAGCGATACGGGCAAAGACGAAACTGCTGTACATGAATCTCCAGCTGACGAGAAGGTTATCATGCCGGAGGAGGACACCCAAGCTCTCCCGGAAGAAGAGCTGCCACCAGATTTGTCAGTTCTCTTTGTCGATGATGATGTGGTCCTTCGAAAGCTATTTGTAAGAGCAGTGAAGAAGGTGCAGCCTGCTTGGAACATTCAAGAAGTATCAAGCGGAGAAAGAGCCCTGGAGCTATGTGAGTCAGCAAGCCCTGACCTAATATTCTTGGACCAGTATATGGCCAGTGTGGACAAGCAGTTGTTGGGAACTGAGACATCAGTTGCAATGAGAGCCAAAGGGGTCACGAGCATCATCTGTGGTCTTTCTGCTAATGACATCAGAGACAACTTTATCAACTCTGGGGCAGATGACTTCATTCTGAAACCCATGCCGTGTAGACCGGATGAGCTGAAGCAGGTGCTTGCTGGGCTATTGAGCAGAAAAGGTTCCCTGCAGGGTTTGATACAATGATGCAACTTTGCAGCTCTGGCATGGGCTCTGCTTGCCAATGAGACGGCTGACTGTGCTGTCCAATGCGCAGATCAATGGATGCAACCCATTATTTCTTCCTAGCCCGTTCATACTGAATGTGTGCAGTACATCATATCAACGAGGTGCCATAATAGAGCAATAAGTCCTTCCAACAATTATTGCTTCCATACTTCCATACCCTCATTATTTGTTTCTCTTTCTTGGGTGTTGAGGGCTTCGCTGACATTTTAGTGACATCTGGCGCAACGATAGAGCAAGAACTTCGTTGAACAAAAGCGTTCATAAACAGAATTATTCATCCTCTGTACCGGATGGGCACAGGAACCTGTTTTCTTCTGCTGGTGCACCTCTTCCCTCCTCTTCCTTTGATTGCTGCTGCTGGCCTCCAACTCCAACTTCTTTGTCCTTCTTTGCTGCTGGGCAGCAGAGGTGTGGCGGGGCACGACTCTGGTGTTGACCCAGAGCATTGTTGGGCACCTGCACCATGCACTGCACACATGCTTCCACCAACTGGCATTTGAGTCCGGCCCCGCCTGCTCGCACAGGAGCTTTCAATTCATTTGGCATGCCACGGGCTGAAGGGTGGCCTTGGGGTTCTGGGGCTCTGGAATGACGCCGTCTGAAGGATGCCCTTTCGGCTCTGCAATGAAGGCAGCCCAGCTACCATCATGATGGAATTCGAAATGACTTTCAAGACAACTGGACGATTTGCTACCAGGAGAATGGAGCCAACGAAGAAGGCAGGAACCAGTTAGCCTCTCTCTCTCTCTCTCTCTGGCAACGACGTGAGAAAATAGATTCGAATCAAGTGAGGCAACTAGCTTACATTGCCTTTCGATGAAAATTGTGCGCTCCCTTCTTCCAAAAGCAGAGGAACTACGACCAAAGGTTTGACTTTCCCTCTCTCGAAAGAACCCACTGCCGTTTTTGCTCCCAGCCAGCAGTCATCGAGCTTGTCAGGAGCTATCAGCTCTCGGCAAGGGCTTCGCAGATAGGAGGCGAGGCACCCCTTCGACCAGGAGAGGCTCCAGGCAAATCGCCCAAACTTTTTCCTTGACTGATTGTCATCGAACAAAATATATTATGAAGAAAGAGTAGTACCCTGGAGGAGCAACCAATGGTGCAACTTCCTCAAGGAGGAACACTTTCGCTTTCAAGGCCGAATTTTTGTCCAAACAAAGAAACGGCTAGATTTCCTTTTGCTGACATCAACCATGCTCTGCCAGTCCATGAAATTGGCTGTCACTTCGCTCCTTCCGAGAGTGCTACTACTGTTTTGCTCTCATCGCCGACTGCAAGAAAACCCGATGGCAATCAAAGATAGATTGCACACGGGGCTTCTTTAGCCAAGAGCAGAACAGGGGTATTTTGGCAGTCGCAGCCATTCTTTGCATTGGCAGCTGGGCAAACAGCAGCATATAGCTTTGACCATCATCATCACCACCACTTTCCAGAGGAACCCAGAAAGGCAAACGCAGAAGACCACCTCAGTAGCCTCCCAAGGTTTTACATCTCAAGTTCCACCGTCATTTTTGGCCTTTGTTTACAGTACCGCCATCTGTGATTTTCTCTTTCCTTTCGAGACGTGTCTTCAATCAACCTTTGCCCCTACTAGATAGTAGCTAGTAGCTAGTACTACAGCCTCCAGAAAAGAGCCCGTGCATTTCCTGCTGGTTGCAGTAGCTCTCCACGGGGCTCCCCCACCAGCCAACCGGGTGGAATCTTGGACGTTGCTTTTGGTCAAAAGGCCGAACAAGATGGTGTCTGATTCCACTGGCCACACAACGTACCGGTAGGCAAGTCAACCATACCGGTAGCATTGCTTTGGCGCGTTTTTGAAGCCAATCCTGTGGGATGATCTGGGATCCTTTTAGCCTTTTAGAGCTCTTTTTTGTGGGACAACTCTGGCGACACTTTTGCATTCGATTTACGGTCATTTTACCAGGCCAAACGGGAACTGAGGAACCTTTCTGGTCATCACGGCGAGATCTTGGTTGAATGTTCAGAACCCATCAAAGACCAAGGGCACCTGTACCACTATGCTAATCCCGGAAGCCTTGTAGTAGCCTAGGTCATTCTTCTCCAGAAAGTCATCTTTGGCCAGCACAAAGAGAATGTTCGCCCAAAAAAGACTTCAAGGGCACCTCAGTTTGTCTTTTGAATGAGCTTTTTAGTACCATTTTGACAGGGGGAAAAGGTTCTCTTGCGAAAAGTGTCAATAAATAAAATGTATGACTTCAAGTAACCAGCGATCAACTCACGAAAACTGAGAATTAAGAACCAGATTAATAAGTTAGCTTGAAGTATTAATACATAAAAGCCCCTGTCATCAACACTGGTGTAGCTGATTTGACTTTCGACTACAGTATTTGATAGTAGCCATGGTCATCTTGGTTCTGTCGCACATGGGGGCATGTTCTCCCTTCGAGATAAGCCCCGACCAGACCTGATTTGAGCAACAAGATGCCAAAAACGCTATATTTTCCCTTTGTTTTGCCATTAAAGTTTAGTTCTTCACTTATTTTTAGACTTAACCTGTGAAATATTGTTGATTATTGTAAATTGCTAATTCTATTCTTCCTTTTTGCTGTTCCAGAGCTGTTCAGTTCACGTCCTAGCATCTTATGAGGGTGCAGATTCCTTAAAGAGCAAGTTCAAATGTCCACGGTTGGATATGCCTCAGAAAGAGGGCTTACATCCGTCGTTGGCTTTAAATCCTTTCCCCGCTCCCCTACGTCTTGTACTAGTACTGTAGTGTTGTTCTTACAGTATAGATGAATCCTGGACATATTTTTCAGCGCACAGTCCCGGCTTCGAGATGCCATCGGAGTGTGCAAATTACGCTTCACTGTCATTGCAGCATGCATGTTTGTACTGTCTGTTACAGTGTACAAACAGTGGTCAGAATCAAGGGTCATTATCGGCAAGTGGCACCAACAAACAAAACACCGATTGGATCTGATCTGTGGCCCTCTTCCATCATCACCGAGAAGCAAATAATCTGGAGCAAAAAGCACTTTTGGCTCATTCATCCATAAAATAATAGTGTTCACCTCGTGCACCACAACAACAAAAAAGCAGTCTTATCAACCACAATAATGACGCCCTCCACAATGAGATTCAACGCCTTGGTTGCCGCTTTGTTTCTTCCAGTGACCATCGCACAAGTGAGTATCAGTATCTCCAACCCCCAATTGTCCCCCACACCTGCAGAAACCATCACATCAGAGCCAACCGCAGCGGTTCCCGTCACAGATGCTCTGCCCGTTCCTACTCCAAGACCGACGACAATGGTGGTGGATACTACTACTACAAGTACAGGATCAGGAGAATCTGTCAGTGTTGCCCCTCCTCTTGCTGCCATCAACACGGCTGCCGAAGCCGACACAATTGTTGGTGTGGCACGGGCCGACGAACAATTTTCGACACTTTTGTCGGCCATGGACTGGGTCGGTATGTCGACTGCTCTGACAGCACCGGGTCCCTTTACATTCTTTGCTCCCAACAATGATGCCTTTGCCACAGCTCCAGAAGCTGTTGGCACCTGGCTGCAAGACCCCATTGCCTGGGAACCTCAAATTCGTG